ATGATTGCTTGATAAACAGTAAAAATATCTGCGTCACTGGCAAAAACGTCCAAAAATCCGAAAAAAAAAAAGAAAACAGTCGGGAAGCGAACAGGTTGAAAACGGCTCGAAGTGGCGGAAATTAAGTATTTTAAAAATCGTAAACTAATGCACAAAAGGTTTCTTTATACGAAAATGGCAAAGGCCTAATTGCTAAATTCGAATCGTCCTACTCAAAACTAGAATTATCCGTTTATAAGTCATCTCAACCAAATCCAATGCATGCCGCTGCAGCATCGAGAATATGCATCAAAACCCATAAATTCATAAAAAAATTGGGAAAAAACCGCGACAAACTTGCGCACATTGGTGCAATTTCCAGAGAAAGTGACCGCTGACGAGCACATTATGTGAGTAAAAGAACAAACGCAGCTTGTCACCAAAGTACAATTTAAGCAACTGAATAACAAAATTCCGACTGCATTTCAGCTAACAGAAATGTTAATTTTAGAAGCTTCGCGAAAGAGATACCAATTTCCCTCAAGTACGAGCAGGAGATCAGCAACTAACGATTAGTGTACTTATTGATAATAAATAGCAGTGTGCACCAGAATAGCCGGTGCAATCATGCGTTTTGTGCAATTCCGTCCATCGATCGATTGCCTGTTAATGATTTTCACTGCTTTGCACTTTGGTCTGCGCAAAATAGTTGAAATGTTGAAAAATAGTTGAAAATTTCACGCATCGGCATGTAAAAGCGGAATTTGAAACCTCGAAGGGTGAATATCTTTCACAATTTCAGACTCCTAATTTTCTGGCTTTCGAATGATCTTTGAGAAAAAACTTTCACGTGATCGTACGTGAGACCTCGGCATACTCAGAGACTGAATTAGAGTTTGTGAAACCCCAGCTTAAGCAGAAAACATCTCCCTGAGATTTTTAGCCTCCTAACTCTTGTGGCTCCCGAAATAATGATTTTTCTCGCCAAAACTTCCACAGGGACGTTGAAAATTAGCGTTGACAAGGGACATTGCCATAAAATTTCAGATTTCCAGCTTTCACTGTTTCTGAGACGGGCAGTGAGAGATACCTGGTCGCGCAAGAAGGCTAAATTTGAATTTGCAAGGTAGTACGTGGACAGAGGGTTATTACCTTAAAATATCAGCTTCATATTGGTTCCCGACATAACAATTTACCCGCCAAAACTTCTACATGTGTGTTACTCGCGGGTACGTGGAGACTGAATTTAAATTTGCAGGGGTCACACGTGAATGGGGAACATTGCCCTAAATTTTCGGCTTCCTAGCTTTTGTGGTTCTCGAGTTGAAAGTTGCGCAAAACTGCTACGGCCATACACACACACACACATACACACACACACACACACACACAGAAAACCCCATGATAATACGCGTTTTTTACTGCTCTTACACAGCAAAAAACGTATAAAAAAGAGTACCTAATGATTAGTCTGGAAGCCAGGTAACCGCGTTGTGCACGCATCAGTGCAATGAGCATGCGGAAAACTTTCTCGGATCGTGCTAAATCAACTGTTCGTCCACTTTCGACATACAGCAGCATATGGGCGTGTAGCTCATGGCACAGTGGTTGCACCCCATCACCAGTTGCTTCCAGACGCGGTAATTCCGATGTATCGAATAACCTGAATTACTGAGCATTTGCAAAAAAAAAAAAGACTGGTATACTCTTTGTTTAGTCACATGGCAAGCAAAAACAATTTTAACAGTAAATGAAATGAAACAATAGCAAAACACTACGGGCAACAAAAGCAAATGAAAAGAAGAAAAGAGGCTGTACTTGAGTTCCTGAGCAGACATCGAGAAAATGCTTTCCTGAAGAGAATCCTGTCTTCTGTGACCCCTAGCACGCTTCACGTTTTCCGAAATCGACAAGCTGCCATTTTCCAAGGATTTGGAGGAAGAAACAGATTGGGCCGGTGGTCGCTCCACTGCATTCTCTTGTGATGCACTCGCTGACGATCTAGAACAAATTTATATAAAGATGCAAACGGATAACGGCATAAACCCGCGAAAAGTCCACAAATCATGGAATTACATGATATAAGCAGCTATTAACATAAATAAATTTAATCAGTAGTGATTTACTGATGCCACAGGATAAGACTTAATAAAGGTTGGGGGAAGATCTAAACCATTCAGTTTTTAACTGAAAACAAATTTAGAAGAAACTCATCAACGTCTGTAGCCAAATTCGACGGAATGAACATTATTTTTTAATACTTATAACAGAAAGCTATTCGAAAATGGATCAGTGAACCCCTTTTGAATACAGTTCACAGTGATCCATAACTTATTTACAGGGCACAAATTATACTTAGAAGTAATATGAAAAATCAGGCCATAAGTTTTGTACCGACAGCGAAACGATTAATGGGACGACAATTTCGGAAGGCAAGTGAAGGCGACTTTGGAAAGCCCGAGCCAGTGAAACCAGTGAAATACCAGGATGCTCAGTCTGGTTCTTTACGTCGAAAAAACATACATGTGTAAG